TGCTCCTCATGCAGAAGGAAAGTGGTCGGGCTAATTTCCTTTTGGAAGGGATGCCAAGGGTGGTAAAGGAAATAATGTTTGGTTTTGGGCACACTGCAAATAAGAAACCCATACTATTTTGAGTCATCCTAGAAATCTGAGTCTTAAGCTTGGGACAGAGGTAGAAGGTAGAGGTACAGATTTTAGAAGCCATCATTAGAGGTGCTAGTTGAAGCCAGGATGAAATTATTCAAGGAGAGTATAGAGTGAGGTGAAAACATAGTGGTAGGGGAAAACCCAGCAGCTACAAGTACTTTTGGGAGCTCAAGGCAGGACAAGGAAAGGAACAGGAAACACAAAGAAACAGCAGGTGGAGGGGAGGGAAGAGCCATCTCCCCTCAAGAATTGGAGAGATATGTGAACTGTCTTCAAGGAACTATTGTTAGCAACTGACCCTGCAGTAGAGAAGGGGAGAGGCTTAGAGTCTGATGATAGGATATTCAAAGTTTGGTGTTTTAGGGAGAGGGGGAAGAGAATGTTCTGCAAACAGAAATGAGTATCAGACCTAGGAGACATTTGCCTCACATCTTGGTGTCCAAGTGTACAAATGATGTGTGTTAACTCTCAGTCTTCACAGACCTAGACTGCAGTATCATTCTCATCACACAGATAAGGTAACAGGGCCCAGAGAGTAGTGAGTATATTTGGAGAATTTAGGACAAGTAGCCTGGCATCAAAGCCTGGGCTTTTAACCACTGTGCACATTGCCTCTCAAAGAAAAACAAAGCAAGACATCCTGAATTAAAGTATAACTTATATTATGATTTGTATTAACCACATAAAATATGTCACCTATAGATATTCAAAGTTATAATGAATATATAAATCACTAGCCCTATGAGACCAGATGTACCACATGAAAGACTATGTGGATTAGTCAGGGTAGGACAGTCTGTGCTGCAAAGCTGAAATCCTCTAATCTCCATCATTTATCATCACAAAAGTCTCTGTTCCATAGAGTCATTCAGGGACCTGGGCTGATAGAGACTCCACTCCTTGTAGCTGCATCCTCTGGAACAAAGAACCTCCTCAGACCCAAAGAACAAATAATACCAGCTCTTAAGTGCTTAGGACTAGAAGCAACACACATCATTCCAGTTATAGCCCAGTAGCTGGAATGAATCACATGATTACACCTAACTGCATAGGGGTCATGGATGAAGGAAGGATCAGGAAATGTCAAGGAGGAAATAGAATCTGTGGTTAGCAGTATTACAAGGATGTTTTGCTAGAGGGACTTGGGCAACTTGTTTCATATGTAGCTTAAAAAATCCTTGAGGGATTGCTTTGCTGATAATATTTTTGTTAGAGTGTGTGTGTGTGTGTGTGTGTGTGTGTTTGTGTGCGTGTGTTTGTGTGTGTATGTATATGTGTGTTTGCCAGTCACTTGAAACTTTAGTATTCCTGGTATTTCTCATGCATTCACTCACTCTCATTCAAGAAGCATTTGTTGAACATGTAATGTGAGGCAAAACCCTTTTTCTCACAGAAATGATGTCCCAAGAGGAAAAGACAATTGAAATAATCCATACATGAGACCTGGCAAATGGTGAAGAAAAGTCAAGCAGGGAGAAGAGATGTGGTGCCAAGCATGAGGGGGGTGTGCAGTCAGAGAAAACTTCAGCAAGAAAATATCTGAAGGGGTTAATAGAGCAAATGATGGACCTTCCCAAGGAAACAGTGTTTTATCAGGACTTAAAGATTCTTTTGATGGTAGGATATTGGCCCAGACAAATGGTAGAACTCCTTGTTCTTATGGATCCTAACGAGAGAAAGCTGCCATGCAGGGCTACACAGAACATAAAGCCTGGGGACAGTGTAACAGTAAGCTGGAGCTCTAGGGGGAACATGTTGATGGCACGTGGGGCTGGGGTGGCTAGGTTTTGTGGGTTCTCTGCAGATTGGCTAATTTGAATAATTTCTCAGGTTCCAGGGCATAAGAGCTCTCCCTAGTTATCTGGTTCCTGGCATCAGGACAATTAGGGGAGGAGCATAGTGGTCTGGAATGTGAGAGCTTGATAAGAGAAGTTGTTGGACTGTGAACTTAACCAGCTACTCAACAAGGGTACTTTCCTGTCCCTGGACAGGACCTCAGAAACTGGGTCATAGCAGCATTTTAACAAGAACAACAACAACAAAAACTATCTTGCAGAAGGTTCCGGGCAAAGGCCCTGAAGAAGGAGGGCATCTGATGTTTTAGAGTAAATCAGTGAGTCCAGTGGGACTGGAAGAGAGGGAGCATAGGTGAGACAGAAGGAGATGAGGGCCATAATGTCATGAACTTTGAGCAACATTGGAAAGACCTGGTCTTTCAGTAGGGGCTGAGCACAAGCTGCTGGAGTGTTCTGAGTATAGCAGTGATTGATTTGCCATGATGTTGTAACGGGATCACTTGGTCTGCCATAAGGAAGGTGTGTCAGTGTGTGTTGGGGGGGGGGGTGGGGATATGGCTGGGGTAAAACAGAAGCAGGGCCACCAGTTTGGATGTTGCTGAAATATTCCAAAAGAAAGGTGATTGTGACTTGGATCAGGGAGGTAGCACTGGAGGTAATTAAAGGCAGTCAGATTCTGAAAATAGAGTTAGCAGATTTGCTGGTGGGTTTTTTGATCTGAGCTACTGGAAGGATACAGTTGACATATCTGAGATGGGGAAGATGTGGGAGACATAGATTTGAGGATCATAAAAGTTTTTTTTAACATTTATTTTTTAGTTGTAGTTGGACACAATACGTTTATTTATTTATTTCTATGTGGTGCTGAGGATCGAACCCAGGGCCTCACGCGTGCTAGGCGAGTGCTCTACTACTGAGCCACAACCCCAGCCCCAAGGTTTTTGTTTTCGATCATGTTAAATTTGGGATGTCTAATTAGATATACAAATAGAAAAACACGCATAAGTCTTTTGCTGAATGACAGAATGGAGAGATAAAGTTGGGAGAAGTCAGGGTGTATGTATTTGTGTATATAACTCCACGAGACTGAGGGTAAAAGGAAGTATAGCTTGGTCTAATGGAAAACCATCAAAATAGACTGAAAAGGAGCTGCTGGGGAGGTGGGGCAAAAATCAGGAGGGAATAATATCTTGGTGGCCAAGGAAGAGAAAGTAAGCCACATGCCACATTTAATGTTACTGGTGTGCTATTCTTTTCTTTCTTTGCACATGTGTTTGTTACAGCATTGTTCATAAGAACACCTCCAGTGTAGCCAAACTGAATCCCTAGGTATGTGGCCCCCATTTTCATGGGGATATTAACTGCTATAGAGTAAGAATTCTATACTATAGTCTCTCCCATTCCTCAGGCGGCAGTTTCCTTTTTAGATCTCTTAATTAGTTTCTCAAAACATTTTTGCTCATTCAAAAATTTATTAAGCACATTTACATGCTTAAATTTTGTGGGGTTACAGATTGGAATCTAACACAGCTTCTACATAGGCAGTGATGTGCCTTAGACGAGAGTTACATAGGGTTTGGTAGTTCCTAAGAGACAAAGCTCACTTTCAGAGGCTGGAGTATGGGGTAGTATCATGGAAGACCTACGAAGCTGGTGTTAGGAGCATAGGGCTTGACTGTATGCAGTTATGAAGTTTGTTCCCTTTCCCCACTATTAGTAATTCAAAATTAAATTGGCAACTTTCTTCTGATGTTTCTGTCACTTTCACATCTCTAGGGTCTACATTCTGTTGCCACAATCTGTTTCTGAATCCTTCTGAGCAAAGTGCAGTCTCTGTCAAACCCATTTATGTAAACAATTTCAATTTATCATTGTCCCCTTACTCTATGTATTAGTATAGAGGAAGCTGGAGACTTAATCTTGAACTGCTCATCCTATCTTGTCACTTGAAAATAACTGGACAGTATTTCTCTGTGTCACAAATCTTGTCTACCATAGTGTTTGACTTATCAGTATGTTTTCTTCTTGAGTCCCTTCAAAATAATTTCTTCATCAATTTGATGAATCTCCTGTAAAACATATTTCAAAAGTAATTCTGAGATGAGCTCTTTAGCCTTTGCAAAGAGATCACCGTTCTACCATTATGAACCATATTCACAATCTTTATCAGCAAAACCACAGCATCTTTCTGCCTTCTGCATACTCCTTTGTCAGAAAAAGGTAACTATCAACTAGAATAAGACATAGAAATTCTACTCCTGCATCTGAATTTTTAGTTTTCTACCCTGACAATATGCAGGATTGATTGGAATGGAATGAAGGTACCTTTCCAAGAGGCCATTAGATAATCCAAGCATATGGAGACAACAATGCAGAAGGGACTTTGTCATGTCTTCCAGTCCCAGAATGAGCCCTTGGATCATCATCTGTTGTTTCCCATTATCTTCCATCCTTCTCTGCCACCTTTCCTGTGCCTCTCTTTCCCAGCTTCCCTCTGTCCTTTCCAGACCCTTCTGGGTGTTCATTTCTCATGCACCACTTGTGTCACCTCCTTATCTGCTTTCCTGTCCATTTCTCCTTCATCTCATCCTGTGTTGAAACAGCAGAGCCAACTCTGAGGGTTGTTGACACCATGAATGCCTCAGGGGCTAGGTTTTCTATCACATGACGCTGGTCGAACTCCCTGTTTTGTATTTTCTTTCAGATTAGGGAACCAGACCTGAGGCTAAGGAATCAACTTTCCAGCAGAACATTTCTGAAGGAGGCTCATTCCAGGGAACACTGATAAATAGAATGACAGGGAACAGTCCCTGGGACTCTATGTTGTATGAGGCACGGAGGAGTGAGGGCCACTTAGAGAGATCTCCCAGACAAACAGCAATAATGCACAAGAGAAATTCCAGGGAGGACATTCCCAATGAATGCAGTGATTTCCAAGGAAGCTTCAGCCTCCAATCAGTTCCTGTTTCACAGCCAGGGATCCCTACATGAAAAAGTTTTGGCACAGGTGACACACATGTAGGGAGCCTAGGCCCAAATTTAGACCTGATTACTTAGCAGGGCTTCTGTATGGATAAGAAACCTTGGCAGTGTACCCAACAAGGGAACTCCTTCCGGGACCATTCCACCTTGTTTGGCCTTCAGGAAAGTCACACTGGAGGCAAACCCTTTACATGCAAGGACTGTGGGAAGGCCTTCAGCCAGAGCTGTTCACTTACAAAGCATCAGAAGTCTCACACAGGAGAGAAACCCTTTAAATGTAGTGAGTGTGGAAAGGCCTTCAGCCAGAGCTCCTCGCTCAGTGACCACCAGAGAATCCACACGGGCGATAAGCCCTATGAGTGCCACGAGTGTGGGAAAACCTTCACCAAGAGCACCCACCTGACCCAGCACATGTGCATCCACAACGGGGAGAAGCCCTATGAGTGTGGCAAGTGTGGGAACGCTTTCCGCAGAAGCACACACCTGACCCAGCACCGCAGGACCCACACGGGAGAGAGGCCCTATGAGTGCCAGGAGTGCAGGAAGGCCTTTAAAGATGCCTCTTCCCTCAGTCATCACATGCTGATTCACCGGGGAGAAAAGCCCTATAAGTGTCCTGACTGTGGGAAAGGCTTCAGCGGCCTCTCAGGGCTCGTACAGCACAAGAGAATTCACATGGGAGAGAAACCATACTCCTGTCCCAAGTGCAGGAAGGCCTTCAGCCAGAACTCATCCCTGATCAAACACCTGAGGTTTCACATGGGGGAACAGCCTTTTCAGTGCAGTGAGTGTGAGAAGGCCTTCAGCCAGAGCTCATTGCTCATCCACCACCAGACAGCTCACACCAAAGAGAAGCCCTTCCGGTGCAAAGAGTGTGGCAAAGCCTTTGGCCAGGGTGTACACCTGACAGAGCACCTTTGCATCCACAGCGGGGAGAAGCTGTATGAGTGCAATGAATGTGGCAAAGCATTTACCCAGAGCTCATCTCTCATCGACCACCAATGTATCCACACCGGAGAGAAGCTCTGTGGCTGTTCAGAGTGTGAGAAGGCCTTCAGCAAGAGCTCATCCCTTAACCAGCATCTGAGGACTCATACGGGCGAGAAGCCCTACAAGTGCCACGAGTGTGGGAAGGCCTTCACCAAGAGCATGCACCTGACCCAGCACATGTTCATCCACACTAGGGAGAAGCCCTATGAGTGTGGCGAGTGTGGGAAGACCCTCCACAGAAGCACGCACCTGACCCAGCACTGCAGGACCCACACTGGGGAGAGGCCCTGCAAATGTGATGCATGTGGCAAGGCCTTCACAGACACCTCGTCCCTCTCTAGGCATCTCTTTGTCCATACTGGTGAGAAACCCTACAGATGTGATGAATGTGGAAAAGCCTTTAGTGGCCCCTCAGGGCTCATTCACCATCAAAGAACACACACAGGGGAGAAGCGGTATGAATGCACAGAATGTGGAAAAGCCTTTAGCAGAAGTGCACACCTTATCAAACATCGGGGAATTTACACTGGAGAGAAACCCCACAATTGCAAAGAATGTGGGAAGGCCTTCAGCCAGAGCTCACACCTTACAAAGCACCTGAGGACACACACTGGAGACAAACCCTATATATGTAAACAATGTGAGAAGGCCTTCAGCCGGAATTCATCCCTTATGCATCATCAGAAAACTCATTCCACAGAACAGTCCTATGAATGTTGCAATTCCTTCAGTGAATCCACAGCCTTGGTTTAGCAGCAGAGTATTCACTCTGGAGAAAGAGCCTATAAATGAGTGGGAGTGCTCAATGATTCCGTTGCTTGTATGAACCACCACCAAGGAACATTTAACATCCCTTGTCACCCTGGGATGTGGTTAAGAAATGTTGGGGTCCTCCTCTTTGCCTAGGATTGAATAGGATACTGTGAGGGTAAGACACCATTGCAAATCTATCTTTCTCCCCTGTAATTTAGAGGAAATCCAGGGTTAAATCTTATTGGGGCTTTGAAATCAAAGATGGGTCTAAGTATAAATGTTGAGTATTAAAAATATTGTTTAAATATTAACATAAAACACAATTGGGAATTTTCATAGCATGATGATCTCATGTGTTATTATTATTGTTATTATTTACTTCTGGGCCTCTGGAAAAGGCCCAAAGTGACAGACACTAGAAGGGGGGATACAGCTAGAGTGATGCTGACAGTGGATAGGGTTGTGTAGTGTGAAAGGGGCAGTAAGGAATGCTGAGAACTCTGGATAGAGGGGAGAGAAAGAGAAAAATATTAAAAGGTCATGTGGGGTCATCTGGTCTAGAAATTTTCAAATGTTTAAAGTTACATATTGTTTAGTAACTTTAAACATTTGATAAATTTTAGAAAAAAAATATATGTGGAATTCTTTGGTTACATGGCAAAGTTTTAAGTCAGTTAATACTTAAATGGGGATTGTAATAAGTTCATTGCGCTATATTTGTTCCATATCTAAGCAATAGTCAAATAGGTGTACCAACTTTCTTTTATTCCACATTTATTCTTATTAACTTGAACACAAAGAGATCAAATTTCACATCCATTAAAAATATGCCCTTTGAATAAATTCTTCTGTGATTGATGTCAAGTTGGATCTCTCTTTTACTTGGTGTCCAAGGCAATCCATTTTCTCCATAGTCAAGTGTCAACATAACATGTTACCAACTGTGTCTCTCCTGATGCCTCCCGTTTTTCCTTCTGAATTCATGCTTCATTTTGGCCCCCTACCAGATTTTCATTGCCAGAATTTAAAGAGATACCTGAAAGAGTTTGCCAATGACGTGCCTGTGCTGGGCTGCAGGTGGGAGCTGGGGGAAATGGGACTGATGCCAACATTCAAGAACTTGCCAATATACTTCAATGTTGAGAGAGCCTATAGGGTAATGAATGACAGAAAGGAGAACAGGAGTTCCTCTACCTTTGGATCTGTCAATTTTGGTAAGAAGTGACAGTGCTTCTCAACTCATCTGGTGCTTCAGACTTACTTGGAGTAGCTTAATAAAAATTCACATTCCTGGGATCATTCTCAAGCTGCCAAATTAGAATCTTCAGGGCTAGGCCCATTCTCAGAAATATACTTTAAAAAAGGTCCCAGGGCAATTCTGCTGCACAACCATCAGAATACATACTGTGACAATGCCCATGCAGCCTTAAAGATATTTCATGTGGGGAAAAATGTGCATAATATTCTCTCTTTTGATTCTGCAGGAGTTTCCCTAGTAAATTTTCCTTTGGGTTTGTTTCATTCAGCTCTTACCCTATTTCCAAGAAGAAAAATAAGAAAAGGGGAACTCAACATCTCTATGCCTCTTAGACAATCAGCTCCATATTTTCCTTCTTAATTCTGAGAAAAATATTTACTATTTTTTCTATATGCAGTACACATGCTAAACTATCCAAACATTTCTTCTTTTTCTTTCTCAGAGAACTCCAATTTTGCCCAAGTATCTAACTTTTTCATAAGGCCATGGTTCTTAGGGGAGTCTCAGATCATCTTTAGCCTTAGAAGGTAGGTCCCCATCACTCTTTCCAACAATTGGCTTAGGCATGGAGACTTGAGGCATAGGGGAGGGGCCAGAGGAAGAATTCTTGTTCATTACTCACAACTATATGTTACAAAGGACTATAGCAGTTGCCTCTTCACTGTGAAGGAAGCCAGTCAAAGACACACATGGCTCATTAATGGTTGTCAAACTGAAAGACAGAAAGAGCCTGGCTACTAATGACCTCAAAGGGCAACCACAACAATAATCCCAGAGCTCCTGCCTCAAGACCTCACGTGATGTGAAATAACAGACCTTACATATTTCTGGGACCACTGGGAAGTAGGCTTTTTTCTTTTTTGCTGCTGAAAGCCAAAGTATCTTGATCTATTTTCTTAGGCACATCTATGTGTCATGCAGGCATTATACCAAGCATATGGGAATTTTCCCATTTATTTTTCCTAACGACTCTGCCTCAGAAGGTACTCTCATTCCTATTTCATAGACGAGGAAATCAGTGTTCAGAATGGTACCATAAATTGCCAAAGTCACATGAGTAATAAGTGAGGGAACTTGGATTCAAATCCAGGTCAATAGGAACCCAGTTTCTTGACTCTTGTCCTGGTTAGCTCCAGTGACAGATTCCATGTCAGTGCCCTATGACTCCTCCCAGCCTTTGCTGGCCCTGAAAGCCCACCATGAATACTCAAGCTTCCAGAATACATCCTGTTCTTACTAGCTAGACTGTCCTATTACTAGCTGTATTAGCTTCTGAAGGATTGTCATAACAAGTCACCACATGCTCAGTGGCTTAAATAACACAAATTTATTCTCTTACAGTTTTAGAGGTCAGAGTTTAACATGGATCTTGCTGGGCTAAAATCAAAGTGTCAGCAGAGCTGTGTTCTTTCTGGAGATAGAATCCATTTCCTTGCCTTTTGTAGATTCCAGAGACTACTTGCATTTTTTGACTCACGGCCCCTCTTTATATCTTCTAAGTCAAAGGTGTAGGATTTGCAAATTACACTCTGACTTTACTTCCATCATCATACCCACTATTACTCTGACCCCTACCTTCCTCTTATAAGAACCTTTGTGATAATAATAGTTCCACATGGATAATCCAAGATAATTTCTTAATGATAACTGAAAAATCCCTTCTACCACATGGGGTAATATGTTCACAGGTTCATGGGATGGGAATGTGGACATCCTAGCAGGGGATGTCATTCTGTCTATCACACTAGTGTGCCTTGCCAGTACCCACAGATCCAACCTCTATGAACCCCACACACTTCTCTGGTGCTGATCCCTCTGCCCCCTACCTCCCTAATGTGACCTCTGATCTGGTAGAGAGTTCTTACTTAGGTCAGTGTTCTGACACCAACAGATTCTAATTAAAATTAGTTATCCTAATGTAAATACTACTTGAATGATTCTGTTTCTAGTACTAACTTAATATTCCAAGAATTTGGATGAGAAGAATCTACTTTTCTATTACCTATATTTAGGCAGTTGTTCAAATTACAAATAGTAAAATAGTCACATTGGTAACAATGATTATATTTAGTGTTAACATAGTATTTGCATAAAAAATAACCTCTATTTTTAAGACTTTCTAGATAACTAGTAATATTGGTACAAGGATTTAACCTATAGTACCAATGTCTTATTCCAAGAAGCAATAAAAACTTAGAGTTGAAAATGTTGTTTTTCAACTTCCTTTATTCAATCTGATTTTCTAGATATCAATAGTCATCTAATAAACTACTTACCTAGGTCCCACTAATTCCTTTCATAACCAGTGCATTAAGAAATCAGAAATAGGGGCTGAGATTGTAGCTCTTGTACTTGTGAGGTCCTGGGTTCAATCCTCAGCAACACATAAAAAAAAAAATAAAGATATTGTATCCACCTACAACTAAAAAAAATTAAAAAAAAAATAAATCAGAAATAGGAATTCATCCCTGGGGAAACGGCAGTAGTACTCCAGCATTCTTACATTACCTATTAATGTAAATTGTGCATTGGGATGTCTATATAACTACTCTTTGGTCCCACAAGAGATGTTGAGTATTAGTTTCATTATTCTATCATGAACTGGGACTTTGTAAGAATGTGGATGACCTTTCCACTCTTCGACAATTCATCCTAATTTTATTTTCTATCAGAAAAGAGTCAACAGGGTGCTTCTCAAAGATACCAGCGCAACCACACCAGGACATTCCTTGTTCTGGTAGTGTCATTGCAGCTCTGACCTCCAAGGTCACAAGAGTTCTCTGACAGGACCTCTAGACTCACATAAAAAATCATCCATAATTTTGAACCCCATTGCTAAGGCCAATTCCTATGCTGGCATCTCATTCATTGGCTGTGGTTGTGCAGGTTTGAAGTGCCACCTAAGTGGCATATAGGCCTCCCTGGGTCACAGAAACTCTGCCACAGCTCTGTGCTTGTGAGCCAACAAGTCCCCCCCGCCTCCACTGAATGATATTCTTTACCATGCCTTGGTTTAGCATCCCCCCAATCCACCCCCACATGCCTTCTCCCAGTTCCACACGAGAATGTTTTAGCCAGGCCCTGCAGTTCATCTGAGGAGAAGGCATCTCCCACCCACACAGGAACTGTACTTCCCTCCCCTGCTGCGATGGGCTGTGATCTTACCTATTCTGAGTTTGCCCTTGTCATCGGTCCTGCAGCAAGGACAGTTAACAGGATGGATGCTGCCCAAGACAAGCAACGTCTTTTGAGGTGGCTCCCTTACAGGCGGTCTTTGTGGCCTACAGAGACAAAAAAGGTACTCCCCAGTTCACAATGATTAGGGGATTGCCGATTCTAGGGTGACAGCTTGGGGATTCCTGGTGCTCCAAATTCTTGTGCTCATCAGCTTTCCAGGTCTCAGGGCTCTACTCCTCCCTCTTCAGCTCCCCAGTGGAGGTGGAGACCTGTGCACCAGCGCATGCCATCTCTCTGCAGCAATGCCAAACATCCATTAGCACAGGACCTGGTCGTCAGCAGCGTGCCTTACAGCTGGAGGAGAAGTGGACTCCTGGAAATAGGGTTTACAATAGGTGACAGGTGAGGCTATGGCATCACACAAACCTACCTGCGATGGAGATCCAGCAGGGACCCTGCCTCAAAGAGGAGGAAGATAGGAGCTCATGGGAGACATGGCCGCCTCTCCTGGATAAAGGTGCCACCTGTAGATGATATGCAAAAGAGACCAGCCTCTCTCCCTTCACCTCAACCAACAGAAACCTCCCATCTGAAAAATAGGGGGGGGGCGGGAAGCAGGATCTGGATTCAACTGCAGGGAGTCAGCCCATGTGGCTGGTCAACATTTCTCACTAACAGGACAAAGTGTCATATCCTTGTTCCCTCACAAGTGCGATTGTCACCTGGGTTGCAAGATTCCCATCCCTTTCTAGGGCACCTGGAGTTTATCTTCAGAGCAGAGCCTTAAGCCACAGCTCACTTGCTCTCCTGATGAAAAATGAAGGAATGAATGAATGAATGAGGCAGTAAGGAAAAGAGTAGAACCCAGATGCTAACATGGCCCCAGCAGACAGCTGAGAGACAGACACAGGGTGGTGGAGAAGCTAGAGGGCACTGTCTGGGTGAATGGGGTCTGCACAGAGCGCCGAGGCCTACAGTCTGTTGAAAATGATTCCCAGGACCATGAGGGCTTCAGGGGGCCCCAGGAGGCTGCTCTCTGTCAGGCAGAGTCCAAAGAGAGGTAGGTCAGGCCTGACACCCATACCATTTGGAAGGCCACATGTAAAGTTACACAACGTCAACCACAAACATGAATATTTATTTGGAATGAGCAGGGAACTCACAATGAGCCTTCAAAATGACAACAGCCACCATGATACTTTCCATGATATTATTTCGTGGTGAGTGTGCTTATACGCTTTCTTGGATGCTCCACCTGAGCCGTGGTGCAATTTCAAGCGTGATGGAGCAGGAGTCCAAGGGGAAAGACACAACAGTTGGATTGTGAATCCAGAGAGCTACCTTGCAAGGTCGAGAAAAGCACCTGCCATGGGAACACACGAGAACAAGGGACTTCCTCCAACAGCTACCCACCCGCTCAGGATCCCCTCAACCCTCAATGCTTCATTCAATCAAGTTTTCAAAGTAAACTGGTTTTTCTTACGTGTATTCTCAGAAAGACGTTTTGCTTCAAGTTAGTAGGAGAATCCGTGGGTTTTGCACGCATCATTTGAGGGTGTGTGTTTAATTACATTTGGACGATGGCCAGGTAGGGCCGAGCAGAGGCTGTTTCTATCTTCCATTTGCAACTTGGCAGCCCCGGTACTGGCACTGTGCCAGCTGCCTGGAAAGACTGACCCAGTCTGCGTTTCTGCGGTGGGAGCCTGCTGGCCCGTGAAGAAGTCGGGGGATACACCTTGAGACAAATGTCTCTGTGTGAGGGCCTGTGGGATCCAGAGCAAATGCTTGCTGTCCTGTAACTCATCCTCTGTGGATGGGCTCCTCTCCCATCCACTCCATGGAGTGGCTGGCCTGTGAAGTGGTCAACCTGGGACTCGATGGCCATGTGAGGAGGATCCAGTCGCTGCCAGTGATGGGAGGGGGCCTGTGGCCTGTGTGCTTCAGGAAGCCGCTGCTCTTCAGCCTGTGAAGAAGGGCCACTCCCTGCTCCCAGAGGCGGAATTTCACGAATGCACCAAGTCGATGCTCCTAGGCAAGATCCCACAGGACAAAAGGGCCCTTGGGTGCCAGGATTTCACCCATGCCCAGAGGACGGTGGGCTGGTGATCCAGCAACTCTGTGCTCGGCTGGACTTCCAGAATGGCTTTTGGAGAAGTATCAGAAGGTGATGGTATCACAGGAGAAAGCATCTCTGTCATTGGTTTTGACTCCAAGGCTATTGTTCAAGAAGCAAAAAGGTGTAGCAGGGAAAGTTCGGGGATGAGGTCAAGAAGGAGCCCAAGGCATATGTGTATCCATATGTCCCTGGACGCATGAAAAATCCAGGGGATGTTTGTATGAACACACGCATGAGGTTTCCCAGGTTAGGGTTGCTAGATAGCTGAAGGCCGGGCCTTTGCTGGTGTGTGTCTTGTATGAAAATATCAAGTGGGAAGGGAAGGAGTGTCGTGAGAAACAGTGCAATGTTCCTCTAGCAACATATGAGCAGCTCTGTCTCCCAAAGGGTGTTGCAGTATTTGAGCCAAATAGCGGGTGAGGGGTTTGGGGACAAGAAATGTGGCTGAAGGTGGCATCCACCAAGGGGAGAGATGGATCCACCATGAAGAGTGCACCTTCCAAAAGTCTCGAAGGTGCAAAGCATATGGGACTGCCTAGGGAGGGGGTGAGGCGCCTCCTTTCACACAGATGGGCGGCCTGATGGGTTGGGGAGAGGAGGAGGCCCCTGCGGAGGTACAGGGCTGGGGAAGAGACCTGACCACCTTTCTGCCTCTCCTGGATGTCTTCCTCATCTGCTTCAAGATGTCTTTGTCAAACAGTTCCTTCTCCCGTGGATGCACGGGTGGCCCTCGCAGGTACTTCTCTTCTGCTCCCTTGTAGTCGAGTTCATCCAGCGCAGCGATTGAACAAATGATCGCTTCTGGCAGCAGGACTTCCACAAGAAATCTCACTTTGTCATCTCTGATGAGAGCGAGCAAGGCCTTGTCCGCTTGCTCGTAGATCTCTTGCAGATGCTTGACGACGACGTCCAGCTGATCCTCGTCCTCCAGGTACGTCTCGATGCAGAACACGTACCGGTTTTCACTCAGAAAGGACGTCAGCCACCGGGACTGCTTCCTGCCCTTCACGATGTCCAGCAGATGGTGGTCGACCCCCTTCTTCTTCACGATGAAGTCCACCAGCTTCTGGTTGGCTCGGTCCCAAGCGGCCTTCATGCGGTCGGGGAGCAGCTTCTTGCAGGGCCTCTTGCCGCCCACGCCCACCGAGGTCTCCTCCTCGGAATCTTCCAGGTCGGCATAATTCACCTTTGGAAAATTGACGTTCAGGTCCCCGTCTTGGATGGCTTTGCGCATGGGGTAGCTGGCGTCGGCCGCGTAGTAGTCCAGGAAGGAGCCCACGAAAGAGCCCCGACCGACCCGCTCTCGGTAGTGGGCAATGAGCGACAAGCACCAGTTCACACTCTGCCGGTACGCCTTGCTGGCTCTCTTCAGGAGTTTCTCCTTCTCCTCACAATCCAGGTGCTTCAGCCTGTGCAGAGGGACCCGAATGCCACTGCGTTCCCCGCGCAGGTTCGCCTCAATCAACAGCACCCGGGCCGTCTTCTGGGTTTTGCACACGCTCTTGACCACTGCCGGCCAAAACGGATGATCCTGAAACTTGAACCAGACCATCGTCCCTCTTTTGATAGGGCAGGGCTCGCGTGCCGAAGGCCCTGCTGCGGCTCCTCGTGCTGGTCGATCGCCAGCCCTTATGGTGCTGGCCCTGGCGTCCCTCATCGTCTGGGAGCGCACAGGGCGTGGGCGCCCCCGCAGTCCTTTCTTGGGGTCTGGCGCCTCGAGCTTCCTTTTCCTGTGGGCGAAACCGAGGGAGCGATGCAGGCTCGGGGTGGAGCAGGTGGAGGATGCTGCCATCCCTTCCAAGGCACCCTCGCCTGGGCCCTCTGCATTCTCTGCGAAGGCAGTGCTCTCCTGGGAAGTAGCCGGGGTCTCTGGGCAGGTGTCCCCCGCCTCTTGGTGCTCAGCTTTGGGCACAGCTGCAAAGAGTCTTGCTGGAGGCGACCAAGCTGGCTTTTCGTCTTTAGCACAGGCATCCTCCCCCGCGGTGGGGGAACGTGCGAAGGGGCCTGCTTCTTCTGCCCCCTCTTCCTGGAGGTCACCTCCACAAGGAGGCAGGAAATCTGGACGCTCGTGGGCGCCTTGTGATGCCTCTGCTTGCTTTTCAGCTGGAGACAGGCGGATGGCTGTGTGCACCTGGGAGTTCTCGCCATGCAGGTCGTTCTCCTTCTCTGAATGCACGCACAGGGATCCCCGTTGTCCCCTTTTCTTAGTCCAGAAGTGCCCTTTGCGCCCCTGATACTTTCTGCGAGGTCGCCAGCTGGCTGGCTTTTGGAGTACCTCTGCAGGCACCTTAGGGGTCCCTGGCTCCTCGGGTTTTCTTCCTTGATCCAAGTGGGCTTTCTCAGTCAGAATCTCCAGCGCCACTCTAAGGGCTCTTCTGTACCTTCTTTTCTCCCCCGATGGCACAGTGGCCCTGGACCATGCCCGGGCTGAGGTGGCCAGGGCTTCGATTTCCAACTTGTTCAGGGCCCTTGCGTCTTTGCCCTTCACTCTCAATTTTTGGTCTTCAGAGAGGATCTGGACTTGGAGAGAAAGCACCCTTCTCCTCTTATATTTTGGCAAAGTCCAAGATCTGGACAAAACCTTGGCTGGCCACAAGCGGCCTTTCCAACTGCATAGGACATACTGGGTGTCCATTGCAGTTGGAGTTGGGGGTCAGGAGGTGATTGGAGGAGGGCAGGACGCCTGGCTGTCAAAACCACTGCTAACGCAGTTCTGTCCTAAGGCCACGTGCAGTCCTCAGGGACTGCCAAGGGCTGGCAGCTTGAGTGGTGGTTCTCTTCCCGCCCGAGTCTCCCTGAGGTGCTGGGCTGACTGCTTGCTTTTGTGGGTGATACAGGAGCAACCTGGAGTTCACAAAAGGAAAAGCAGAAAAGTGTCAAAAGAGAAAATTCCTCTCGTGCAAGTAGAAGCACCCTGCTCTATGAGATTGTTGAGGGATGAAAGAAGGAAACACAGAGAGTGCGTCCTTCACAGAAGGGTTTATAAATGGAAAGTACTTGGGGAAAAACAGACAAAACCCTGGAGGTGTCAGGGGGGCTCCATAACAAGGCAAATCCAACATCTTGTCCTAACTGTAAGGATTGTGCAGCTCAAAGAGCAAGCACACGAGGAAGTGGGTGTCATGCCAGGGGACCCTTTCTCGAACTGTACATTCTGTGCCTTTTTGGCTCCTGGGGCTTCTCCCCTGGAGAATGCCTCGGATTTTCTTCTTTTCTGAGGGGTTTGTGCCGCCCTGCCCTCCTGCAGGAGGTGTTTGTGCAATGTCACGTTCAAGAGCTTGCACGTGGGACCCAGGGGTTTGTGAAGGTCCTCCTGCTGATTCTTCCTGCCTGGCGGGGTGAGGAAGAACACACTGGTTCAGGCACTGGTCTCCCGCTGTGGCCTGAACTGCTGTCTCGTGGTTTACATCTTCTGTCTTCCAATACCAAATCTGTGATTCTTACCGTGAAAACAAGGGTCTGAACAGCAGGGCGCAACAGGGGGCTGTGGGAGAGGCTTACCCAGGGTCATGAAGGTCCAGTCCCACATCTGCTGCTGCAACTCCTCACCTGCAGAACCTTCACTCTGCTCCGTTCCTCCAAACTGCACTCTTCCTCCAGGGACTCCAGGGCACCCAAATGCAGATGGCCACGACCTGTTGCCCTGTGATGCTAATCTGGAAAACCCAAAACAGGTAGGAAAATAAGCCGACTGTGTGTGACTACCTTCCCCATCTCTGGAATGCATGACTTCTGCAGCAGAAGCCATGTCCTAATGCCACCCATAATGCAGATGTCACATTTATTTTCTTGCATCTCTTGCATTTCAGAACATATCCACCTTCTGCCTCTCAGTATAATGTGATCGCTTCTCTTGCAGGAGAGTAGGAACTACACCTTTCAGGACCTCATGTGCCTTGGCCACATGGATTTCCTATTATCAGTCTGGGTGCTGGAGGGTGTGTGAATCAAAAAATGGGGTTTGTCTCACTCTAGAACACATTAACCAGGCTTACTGAGAACGTGAAATGCACAGGAAGGTCTGCCAAGGGTTAGCATGCAGCAGCCACTCACTCGCGTTTTGTTTTTTTTTTTTTTTTTAATTTATTATTTGTTCTGTTTGGGTATACATGGCAGTACAATGTATGTTGACATATCATACACACATGGAATATGGCTTCCCATTGTTGTGGTTGTATGTAATATGGAGCCACACTGGTCCTGTGTTCATATGTGAACAAAGGAAAGTTATGTTGATTCCTTCTACTGACTTTCCCTTCCCACGCCGTCCCTCCCCTTCATTCCCCTTTGTCTAATCCAAAGTACTTTTACTCTTCCCCGCCACCCCCCCAACTTAATGTGTGTTACCATCTGCAGATCAGAGAGAACCTTCCAAGCCACTCACTCTTAGTGGAAGGACCTGTGTGCTTCCAACATATTACCTGCACATTCAGGCACACGCTCACACACAGGTGTGTGGAACCAGAGTTCCGATCATAGGAGCATTATGACACGCATCTTCTTGTGAAGGGCCATTTTCCAGCATCACTGTCGTAAATGCCAAACTTCAACCACAGAAACTTCCAACCTTACTGAAAAGTGTAGGGCAGCCCATGAAATCGTTCCCATGATCCTTCTCTTCTTACTCTTCCACCCCCAAATACGCAGTGGAAACCCTCTAGTTCTATCCATTGCACAAACGTGTTTTATTCCTCATTTCCATTTTTCACCATGAATGGATTACTTCAAACAAATGGTGCTGGGAAAACTGGAAACCCATGAATGAACTTTAACCCCTATCTCACCCTGCCAAAAAACTCAACTCAAAGAGAATCAAGGACCTAGACATCAGACCAGAGACCCCGCATCTACTCCAACTCTCCATCATGTGGGCTTAGGAACCGACTTCTGTAACAAGACGCCTGAAGCACAAGAAGTAAAATCAAGAATCAATAAGTGTGACATTACCAAACTAAATTGCTTCTTCTCAGCAAAGGAAACAATGAAGAGG